TTTAGTATTAAAATGAAAAAAGTACAACTTTTTGTTGGTACTCAGAGTTTCATGCCTGGCGGCAATCATCAGCCATATATATTTTTTTAAATCAAGAAATTAAAAAACCGTTTAAAATACAAATTAAGCAATGCAATGGGATCTGACGTCAAAACATCGACTACACGAAGTCTACCTTTAGCCTGTGTCGAATTGACAAAGAAGGAATTTATTTCTATGCCGACATTTTGATATAATTTCAGTCTTTTTATTTAATAAACTATTGTCATTATTTGAAATAATTTCATAATTTTCATTAATGCATAATTTGCACGATTTTGTTGTCAGGTTATATGCTTCACATCTTCTAATTATTTTCCAATTGATCACAGGATTTTGATCATTATCTTTCAAGTTCCAAACCTCCTTTGACAGGTCTGTATCGTTTCTATACTTGGGGATATTAAACGATTTCAAATGGTTAGCATATCTCAGTTTGAAAGATGTTTCACAAATACCAATGTATGATTTTTTTATTGAAGGGTTATCTGAAGTGATTGTTGCTTGGTATACAATGTTGTTGGTCAAGCAGTTATTGTGTAAAGGACAGTTGTTTTTATTAAGGCAGTTGCGGTTATCTTTATTAATGGTTAGATTTTTGTTTAGGATGTGCTTGTTGTGTAAATTTATTATTGATTTTATGTTTGGCATGCAACTGTATCTGATTTTTACTGTGTGTTTTTGTTGAAAATTTTGTGTAGTCTGTTGTTAATTGGAAAATATTTGATAATCAAGTTTAAAAAGCTTTTTCCTATATTTGTGGTGACATTTATGCTATAGGGTGGGTTGTACCAGATGATTTTACGCGTACGGTTTTTCTTTTGTTGTTGTTTCAAGTTAGGTCGGTAAGATAAATTATGTTTATAACCAGAGTTTTGTAGTGCTTCATTATAAATAGGTACAGATTTTTTTAAACACCATTACGCTGCTAAAATTTCTGGACAATCTGAGTTCAACATTTTGCGGTAGTTTTTTTAGTATATTAGGAGGGTGGTTAGATTGAGCATGCATGTAGTTTAAAGTATTATCAGGTTTGCAGTATGGTTGGTATGACTGGTCGCAGAGGGTAAGAGTTACGTTGAGGTAATTCACAATTTTGAGGTTGCTCTGCATAGATATTTTGAAAATGTTACATTTGAATAAGTGAGGGATATGCTTTTTAATTTTCTCTATTCGCTGACCAGTAGCATTTTTAAAAACTGCTAATCCGTCATCGCGGAATAAGCCAAAGTCATATTTACTAAAAAAATGTGAAATTTGAAAAAGAATGAATATCCCAACAAACTCACATATCTCCGCACTATCAAACGCACCCATGGTAACGTCAAACAAACCGCCTGACTTGTTCATCCAAACCTAGCCATTATTAAACAGCAAAGATTTCCTTGCATGAATAATAATTGACTTTTATTCAATGCTTATAGTGACATGTTTTTCCGCAAAACTGATAGAATCGTTAAGGAATTTTTCACTAATTGAAGAGTAGAAATCGTTGATATCAAAGTCATCAATTAGGAACTGGAGTTATTCCAAACAAATTAAAAATTGCGAAGATTTTACCTATATGTAAAACTGGAAACACGGTCTTGCTAACCAGTTATAGACCTATCTCAATTCTTCCAGTGTTTTCCAAACTCCTGGAAAGAATAATGTACAACCGACTTTATAAATATTTAACAGCCAATAAAATTCTAAGTGAATGTTAATACGGCTTTCAAACAAATCATTCTACGAAGCATGCAACCTTAGACCTAATGGACAACATTAAATCGTCTTTTAATAAAGGAAATTTTGTATTGGGAGTTTTTATTGATCTTACTAAAGCTTTTGATACTGTCAACCAAAAACTCTTCTCCACAAAATGAGAAAGTACGGTATAAAAAACCAAACTACTAAATGGTTTACTAATTATTTAAATTACAAACAACAATGTGTTATAATAGACGGTATCACTAATACAAAGTTATTAAAAATAAAATGTGGTGTCCCCCAGGGATCTATTCTTGCACCTTTAATATTTTTTATCTACATTAATGGTCTTCCTAAAGTCTCTACAAATCTCAATTGTATAATATTTGCAGATGATACCAATATGTTTTACTCATCTACCTCTATCAATGATCTTTTTGATTAAGTTAAAATTGAACTTCAAAAACTTAAAACATCATTCAGTGCTAACATGTTATCATTAAACACACAAAAAAGTAAATATATTTTATTTCACTTAAAGAAACAGAAAAATAAAATACCCTCACTAAGTATCGAACACAAAAAAATTGAAAGAACCCAAAAAATTAAATTTCTTGGTGTGATTATTGACGAAAATGTTTCATGGAGAGCCTATATAAATGCCATCAACAAAAAGTATTTGTATAATTTTTAAAGCTAGACCATTTTTATCGCAAAAAAACCTAAAACTTTTTTTCTTTTCTTTTATACATAGTTATATCACATATGCCAACATTGCTTAGGGAAGTACACACAAGACAAAGTTAATGTCCCTTTATCGACGACAAAAACATGCCTCTAGAATAATACATCATAAGAACAAACTGACCCACGCTAAACCCCTATTAAAAGAAATGAAAGCCCTAAAAATTTAACAAATTAATATCTATGCTAATATAATGTTCGTGCTAAAATACAAATTAGGCTTAGTTCCAAACCGATTTACAGAAAATTACTTTCAATCTAATATCAACAAATTTAACATAAGAGCAACTGGTAACTTTATTGTACTCCGGAAAAGACTAAAAATTCTCAATTTTCTATCTCTTATCGCGGCCCTTATTTATATAACAAATTAATTCCGAATTATACCTCAATTTCTCTTGCTGGCTTTAAAGTCAACTTCTTTAAAGTCAAAACTAAAATATCATGTCCTCAATACAAATAATTACTTAGAAACGTTTTAGTTCTAATGATAAATTAACATTTACGCTCATATTCAAACAATCAGCAATCAATCTAAAATGAAAATGTACTTTTTTTAATTAAAAAATAAAGCTAATATTATTATCATAAACTACAACATCAACACCCACGGTCGTTTAGACTTTAGAAATAAGTGGAAAGTTATTATACGCAAGCGCAGTAGAGTTAAAAATAATTTAGAATTTTAAAAATGGCTACGGATGTAACGTTTTTAAAAACTTATCATTGACAACGAGTAACTTGTTTAATTTTAGATTATTTAATAGGCTTTTAACTATTTTTAAAATAAAATTATTGTGAAAATAACTTGCAGCTTTACTAAGAAATGTTTTAAATAAAATACAAGTCCTCTGAATGTGAATAAAATCTACTTTCAGCTAAAGCTACTTTTACTGTTTTTGTTTATAATCTTTAAACCTTTTTAATAAAAATTTTGAGCGTAGAAATTTTTAAATTTTTATTTATTCAGCAAGATGAACCTTTATTTGTTAACAGTCAAAATCGCGTGATAGTCGTAATGTTAACTTAAAAGACGTGAGTTACAACACAAACATGACGTCATCAAGTTATTATATACGATGAACTACTTGAAGAAAAACGTGGTTTACTGCACTCACATAATCATAAACACTAATTACTCTCTAGTGGCAGTTCACAACGTGATTGCGTGTCAATCTCACAATTTTTTTTTTAATTCATCAAAAGAGAAATACCCCGAGATTATTTAGCAAGATCTTTATGCATAGCCATTTTTGGTTGTTATTTTACCAATACTAGCACAAGTATAAGTTAACCGTTTATTGGTAAAAAAAAAAAAACAAACAAAAAAAAAAACAATAAAATTTAATTTTGCATTAAGGCATTTCCTAAAAATTTCCAATTAACTTAAATTTAATTCTTATATACATAAATATTTTGTAAACAAGGAATGATATACCTTAGTAAAGTTATCAAAGAATAAATTAATTTTAAAGCGGAGTCATGCACGTAACAGAAAAACGCAATATTTAGTTACTAGATAAATAAACTTTAATTCCTCAGAAAATAGTTTCAGCAGTACATTTTTTTTTTCAAATATTCAGAAAGTTACAAGATTGCACTATGCGAATGATCACACATGGATGTCACGTACGGAAGTAGAGAAGTTACAAACGGAAAATATCAATTTCATGTAGATATTTTTATTAAAAATAAACTGCTTGTGAGTATTTCAAATGAAATATAATTTTTCTGCAACTCATATTTAATATACTTTCAATGAGAAATGACAGTCATCAAATATTCTATGCTAGAGTATAACGTTTTAATATTTATTGTATATTTTTTCTAGCTATTGCGACATTATATATATATATATATATATATATATATATATATATATATATATATATATATATATATATATATATATATATATATATATATATATATATATAAATATATATATATATATTAGGTTTTTAAAGCCTGACTTATGTTTATTTTGATTTGTTATGCATAATGTTAGAAATATTCATCGCGCGTAATTCAGTGCTTCTTGCGCAACTATTATTACTGGATGAAATATTAATTGAAATTGTTGAAAACTCTTTTAAGAAATTTCTTTAATATTTTAACATGTTATTATATAAATAATAATTTATATAATGTTGTTTTCTTTCAATTTTTTTTATTTTTGTTTAATTTTTAAAAAAGTCCTTGTTACTCAAAAGTTAAGTCAAATAAAAAATTGTATTGTAATATTTTATTGTAATACATAATTGAGTATTGAAAATATTGCGCTTTTTGTTGTAAATATGTAACTAAAGCGATTTTTTAGAGTTTATGCTGCACTTATTTTTGTTGTAATCTGAGAAATATTTTTTATTTGAATTAAAACTAGATAAACAAATTTTTCGAATGCACCCTCTAAAATATATCAAAATCTTAGTTTATACTTAAACAGTTTTGAGGTTTAGACAATTTAAAGTTTTTCAGAATAAATTTAAAAGATAAATAACATATTTGCAAGACTTAAAACGTCAAAGAAAAACATTTTTTTTTCAACTTTTTTTTTTTAAAAGACAATACCAACAAGAACAAAAAAAAAAAAAAAAAATAAAGAAAAATAATGGATAATCAAAATGATAATTTTTATATTATTGGTATTCTTGGTTTTGTCGAAGTAATTTTCAGTGTTGTTATCTTGCTTCCTTCCTATCTCCTTTGCCAAAAAGATCTTTCATGTATGGTAAAAACGCCTTTTTGGTCAGGAGTTTTGGTAAGCTACTCATATGAGGTACAATTAATTTGTAAATTAGATGTTCTAATTGAAATTTATTTTACGTCTAATTTTTTTTATAGTGCTTTGCCTCTGGTATATTAGGAATTGCAGTTTGCTTATCTAAAAAGCGTTTGGTCGTAAGTAATATATTCCTCTTAAATTCCCCAATCTTTTAATCAATAACACAATAATTAAAAATTGAAATTGACTATGAACATTCTAGAAGTGCCTTTAGATGAAAAATTGTCATGGGAATTCATATTTAATATATCAATGATTTAATCTCAAAAAGTATTTCCATATCGAACAAAACTGTTTCTTAATAATGAATCTTTATAAAAAAGATATTCTTCCTTCATATACAGCAATCTTTCTTACTGTAACGTTGCCTGGGGTAGCACTAATCACACTAAACTTAATAAAATCATAGCAAATAAAAACATACTTGCAGGATAATATTTGGGGTAAACAGGAATGCACATTGTGAACCTTTAAATATTTATAAGATTAATTAATTTTATTCATCAAGTAATATTTTTAATGTTTAAAGCAAAATTTGGGTTATCTCCAGTAACATTTCAATCTTTATTTAATGAAATCTCTCAAAATTATCCGAGCTAATTTTCAGTGAACAACTGTGACATTTCCATAGACCATTTTAAATTAAGTTCGTACCAAATTCGATATCGGGGACCTTTTGTTAAGAAGAATTTTCTTTATATTTTTTATGAAAAACAAGATTTTTTTTTTTTGATATTTGTCATATTATGTTATATTTTTTGATATATCAGCCCCAAATACATATTTGTATTGCATTATTTTTAATAAAACTTTACGCAATTTTTGATTGATAACTTTCACAATTATCTTACTCATTAATATAAAAGTTAATTTATTGAGAACTTGGTAGACTTATTTAAAGTTTTGGGTTAAACAAATTCTTTGAATATTAAGTCATGTATTTGTGTTGAATTTTACTAAAAAATCGTTTGAAGATATTTGATATTGTATTATTATTAGTTTTATACATAAAAATTAGATGATCATATATATTTATTTGATACAAATTTAATTTTTCCAGATTGTTAAACAATGGTCTTGAATGTGAAAAGCTGTGTGCATTTGATAATAATCTAATTGCATGTTTTTATTAGCTGAACAGCTCTTTCGTCTTTGTTTTATTGGTGCTGTACCAAGCTATGTTTGCATAATAAAGATAGGAACGAATAAATGACTAATATATGTATTTCAAACATGATTGAAATTAGTATAACTTTGCTTTATTCAGTAATACGATATTTTAATAAAATTCTTTTTCAATTATGTTTATGTGGTCTTTCCAACTTATGTTTTATTAATCTAGAATTACACGTAAGTATTTCATTAAACATTGTCTTTTTACGATGCATTCTCCAATAATAAGTATTGAAAGTGCAAGAGGGATTTGATGTTTTTTATGGAGGCATAAAAATTAGTAAACTTAGTTTTAATTAAATTAATTAAATTTTATTCATATTTAAACATTCAGTTAGTTTTAGAAATTCCATGTTGACCATTTTAACAAATGTTGTTATATCAAAATGAGAATAAAATAAATTTGTGTCGTCAGCAAACAAGATGATATCCAAAATATTAAAGACTTTGTTTAAATTATTAATATGAATTAAAAAAAAAAGTTGTCTGAATAAAGATCCTTGAAAAAAGGCCGCAAGTGATTGTCATATTGTTTCATATAATATTGTTTTATTTATTGATCCTTGTTTCATTTTAATCTAATATGTTAGTTTTAATTGTTTTTTTTAATTTATTCAAAGTTTTAACCTCCATAACATTTATATATAAAATTAATTCTTTGTTTTCTATTTTTCTATTTAGGTTAAAAAAGAAATATTTACAGTGTTAGGCATTCTACATTTTTTGACTATATAAAATTTAAGTAACATTTAAAATGAGACTATTTTCAGAGGCGGGAAGCATTTTTTTCAAAAACAAGTTAGTTTGTTGCCCAAAACTGAATAGCAACTCTTATTGCACCACAATATTGCTAAATTTCTCAAAATCCTTGCATAATTGATTAGTGCAAATAAAAACACATTGTGTTCGTTAAGAAATTTGTATTTTTTACCTAGGTTTGCCTATTGTTTTTCATTGCCCTATAGAATAATGATTTTTTGATTAAAGTTACACAGTCTGTTGAGATGCTTTAACAAAATAAGGTGAAAAATAAATTTCGGCATTCCGGTCTAAAGTATTGTAATTCCGGCCGGAATTAAAATACTTTAGACCGGAATGCATAAATATATTGTAGAATCGGAATGACCTAAAAGCCGCAAAACTAGGCTGAAATTCCGGCTGGAACAGAATTCTGGCTAGAACGGAATTCAGCTATATCTCTAGTTCATACTGGTGTCAAATAAAACCCTTTTTCAAACAATAGCAGTAATTAAAGCTCCCCTCCCCCATATACATTATGTGAGAGGAAACAATTACAAATTTATGTTTTTACCAAGTCGTCCATAAATTACGCCATGTAATTTTTGACCTAGTTTAACCTCCCTTTTCTCCTCTTCTTTGTAACAAAATAGTAACACTTGTAAAGTTAGTTGTGCAGGTGTTGTCACAAAACCACTAACCCCTCCTCCCCCTTATAGCGTGACGTATTTTATAGACGACCTCAAAGTCTCCAACATAATCAAATTTTTTTTTGGTTTTTAAAACTGCACCCAGTTAAATACGTTATCGATATTTCAAATGCATTTTATTGGTGATAATAAGTTGATCATACGTACGCGTTTGGCGCGTACAGTAAGCGTTTGAGGGAAGTTTTGTGCGCTCGGGTTTCGTACGCGTTCGAACGCGTATATACAAAAATAAAAAGCAAATAAAGTTATTGCTATAAATTTACTTAAATATAATTAAGAATTTAAAATAATAAAAATAATTAATTCAAAAAAACTTAACATAAAAACTGAATGAAATTAAAATCCCGTGAAAGTAATAGTATTTTTTAATACCCATTAAGGAAGAAAAAAAAAGATTTAAAAACATTCAAATTCATCTATAAAAATGCACTCATTTTACGCAAATTTCGTTCGCTTTGCAAAGTCTATATTATTTGCTTGACAAAGTCTTATTTCGACTTTACTTTGCATTACTTATTATTATAAATAACGCTTCGCGGTTTGGTTTAACAAAATAATGTTTATAAAAAGGAATTAAAGTTTTATATAACTGTTTATTAGATAGGGTAGATTAGGGTAATATGAGCACCTTGGTAATATGAGCATGCTTAAAGATTTCAAAGATGTAAGCAGTGAATTTAAAGTTGCTTTATATTTTTTGAATCGACTTTATGTGGTGATAACAGAAATTGGTATAATTAGCGTAAATTTATATGCAGCAATTTGCGGGTATCATTTAATTAAAACGTTATTAAATTTTTTGTGCTGTGAAAATAATATCATCATACAAGAATAAATCTGTACCGCGAAATTTTTGTGCTAAAATAACGAAATTTAATAGAAATTCTTTCCATTTTTGCTTGAAAAGCAATGCATAGGAACACTTAGTTTTGACTTTATTAAAAGATGCCAATTTTGTGTAATATGAGGATGCTTAAATTACCCAGTGTTTTTCATTAAAATTACGTAGTTTATAGGCAGTGGTTTTAATTGATTTTTGAATAAAAACAAAACAAATCAAAAAATTTTAATATTTCAACAATACTAAATATTTTTCTGTATTTTAAATTCAAAAAGTTTGAATTTTTTTTTGTTCGAAGGTTTGAGTTAATAAAATTGATAAAATAACGACCAAATTTTTTTTCTTTTTCCGGAAAACAAAGTAGTATTGTTTCAATAAAAAGTGGCTTAAAAATTGATCTTTTAATGATAAGTTTTGTTAGTAACGTTTTATTATATTCCATTAATTAGTTCTAATTGTCATGTTGGTATTTTTTAGTTTAATTAATGCTAATTTTTTGAGCTAATTTAAAGTGCTCATATTACCAAGAGGTCTGGGTAATATGAGCACTTTTGCTACTTTTTTAAAACATCTGTGTTTTTTAAAAAAAATTTCGGGTGCCCAAATATCTAATTGAATCATGAGTAGGAATCCCTTAAAATTTTTTATTTGCGAAAATTTTGGATCCAGCATAACTATTTATGAAAATATTTCAATTTTCGCTTAAGGTGCTCATACTACCCTAATCTACCCAACATCAAATGCATAAAATGAATAATAAGAAGGTTAAAAACACATTAAATAATAATTCAAAGAAACTTTTTCTTTTCAATCAAAGATAAACTCAATTTTCAATCAAAGATTAACTCAGGTAAGATCAAAAATAAACTCAAATGTACTATTTATATTATTACTCAAATATACTATTTGTCAAAGCCTATTTGACATTAATAGTCGTGGACAGTCTGCAATTGAAGATTTTTGCAAATCAATCAAACTTAAAATGACATTTTATGCATCTATATCGTCAAACAAAATCACAAAGTTGATGAAGTGTCGCAGTTTTTATCAAAAGGAAAAAACATTAGCCATTTTCCACACAAGAAAAAACAACCATAGTTTTAAAACTTTTTAAAAATTCTGTAATAAAAGATTTGCCTGTGCGGGTACAAAATGTAAAGCAATAGTTGTAAACATGTTCAAGATATTTTGTGAAGCTAACTTGTGAAACTCGGAAAATTCTTTATTAAAAGAATCGTATGTATCAATTCTCTTTGAAGCGTCAAACCGCAAGAACGTTAAAATGCATCAAGTTTTCGCTCTTTTTTTCTCTTTTTTTTTGCTCTTTTTTTTTGATATTAAAGAGGGAGTGCAAATTCATCTGATAAACATATAAATATAACATATAAATGAAGAAACATCAGATATTTTATCAGAACTTATCTTGAGATGCATTAGTGAAATCATCGGCATCAGTTGCAATGTCCATGTTTTATCAAACGCAATAAACACTGCATCTGTTTGTTTATCAATTAGTAGAAGTTATTATCCGGTTGATCTGGTTGTTTACCAATTATTACTCAATTTTTTTTTTTACCGTTTCACAGTTCGAGTTTCTAGTTTAGAAAATTTTCTGCTAGGAGGACTAGAGTAAAATATCAAAAGTTACTCAAAA